CTTCTTAAGGCCCTAATGTTCTTAGCAAGGTCCCTACTGGGCACTTCCCCCAACAGGGCCCTTGCCTGCCGACATTTGGTCCTTGTTTCCTCCTTCCAATAGCTCATATGGCGGTCACGCAACCAGTCCCTTATTTTCGTCTTGCCACTGCAGCCTGGCAATCCAAGGGCCGGTTCCGGTCCCACTAATCTAGCTGAAGAGCCGTTCCTTGCTAGCTCATCAGCGACCTCGTTCCCCTTGATTCCCGCGTGCCCCGGGACCCACACGAGAGCAACGTCATTGCCCGCGGCCAGCCTGTTCAATGCATCCTTGCACTCCCATACCAGCCGCGAGTCAAAGACGCACGCCCCCAGCGCCCCTAGGGCCGCTTTGCTGTCTGAGCAGATCCTGATACGCCTGCCCATCTGCCCAGATGCAATCAGCATTTGAGCACAGCTCATGATTACCACCACCTCCGCTTGAAAGACCGTGGTGAACTCTCCGAGGGGGAGAGCTTCCTTAAAGCCCTCACGACTTCCAAAGACCCCGGCACCGGCGCCCCCGTCAGTTTTGGAGCCATCCGTGTACCAGACGTCCCCATTCCTGATAACGAGCACCTCGTGCCTCTCCCACTCCTCACGACTAGGAAGATAGATCTTGAAAGATCTATCAAAGTCGCGTTTTCTCGGCATCTTGTCCTGCCTTATATCCAACACGGTTTCCATCTGGATATCCCGTGGTAGCCGGGTGTGGCCCACCCCTATCGTCCACTTGGCTTCACACTTCAACCTGTACGCCGTAGCCGCTGCTGCCGCCACTATCGCAAGATGGAGTGGTTCGATGCCGAGCAGCACTCCCATTGCTGCCACCGGCGTTGTTCTTATTGCTCCCAGAGCCCCTCTTAAAATAAGAGCCCTGACGCGTTCCAGCATTGCCCGAGCCTCCGCTAGCTGTGTTCTTGGCCACCATACCACAGCAGCATAAAGCAGTCTAGGTCGGAGCACAGCCGAGTATAGCCAAAGCACCCTGTCCGGCTGAAGTCCCCAGGTTTGCCCTAAGGTTCTTCTGCACATCCAGAAATATGTGCAAGCCTTCCTACACACCGCCTCTAGGTGCAACTTCCAATTCAATCTTTTATCCAAGATAACTCCTAGATACCTGACTGACGTCTCGGGAGTCATCTGACCCCTTCTAAAACAGGCCCCTCTACGGAGCCCACTTTGTACTTGTGAGTAAAGATTACCAGACTTGTCTTATTCGGATTAACCGATAGACCCGTCCTCTTACACCATTCTTCCACCACCCCCAGAGCACCTTGTGTGAGCTCAAGGAGCGTTTCCAGGAAAGGGCCTCCTATCAGGATTCGAGCATCCCGGGTGGCCTTGACGCCTTTATCATTAAGCTCTTCAAGCAGCCTGTCTGCTACCAAGCACCATAGGAGTGGCGAGAGGACCCCCCCCTTGGGGACAACCTCTCCCCACCCATCCTTCAACACTCACCGTTCCTAGTGATGTCGTCACTTGACGTCCAAGCATTCCTTGGATCCACTTCACCAGTTTCACCGGAACGCCCCGCCTTGCCGCCTCAGCACACACAACTTCGTGTGGGATGTTGTTGAAGGCCCCTTCAATATCCAAGAAGGTGCCTATCAAAAAGCCCCCTTGCTGGAGCTACTTCTCAATCCTGTGGACGACCGTGTGGAAAGCCGATATGCTCGAGTGGCCAGCCCAGTAGGCGTGCTGCTCTGCATGC